GTGTACGATCCCCTCAGGAAGCAGAAGTAAAGCAATCATTCAGCTTTGAGAACTGAGAAGAAAAATAAAAGGAAGGTGAGAATTCGAAGCAAGATAAGGAGCTAAGAAATGGAGATACTCATTTAGAGAAGCTAAATACTCATTTAGATAGTGGAAACAAGATAAACAGGAGGAGCTAGCTGATCAGAAATCTGACCCTCAGAGAGGAAGCCACAGGAAAAAGAGGAAGAGCTGGGGGCCTGCAGAGTGGTTAACAGAGCATAGCCAGGGAGTTCAGGCTCCACTGTGGAGAGCTGCAAAAGCCGGAGAGAGAGCTTGGTCATTGGGACCTTCCTGGCCACTGGAAGCACTTCTGATGCTCCCCAGGAACCATGGCAGAGCCTGAAGGGCTTTGGTGGAAGGAAAGACCGCATCGAGGCTCAAGGGCTGAGGGCACCAGGGACTGCAGGAGATCCCTAAGTGAAGCCCGGAAACTCTCCTGCTTCTAGAGGAGGAGACTACAGCTTGTGCCCGATCACTGTGGTGTGGGAAGAAGTGGTCCTACTTAAGATCTGTTATTTCCAAGTTAGAGCTACTTGGGTTGCGACATGCACGGTTAATTGCTGTTAGCACTGCAGGTCCCATTAAAAGATGGTGCAGTACCTACATGCCCTTTGGAGGTAGACAACTAGCAGTGGTAAATGCACGCAGTGGAATTTGAACAGTAGTGCAAATGAACGGCACAGCTTGCCTAGAGCAATGTAGATAGATCTTAACAATACTGAATGGAAAAGCATCATGTCTGTGAAGTGTGTCCTTTTTGCAAATTTTATAAACACAAAACACACATAAATCATGAAAATATTTTAAAAAACAAACAAACCCTGGACAACAGTTGAGGATAGAGGCTATAACACCAAGGAGGGATGGGGGAAGAAGAAAAGGCTGGGATCTTTGGCTCTATCATGTCAGCTGCCTTTAAAACAGTATATGTGGCCAGATGCGATGAAAGGCTGGGGCAAAGGCTGGCAAGTTAGAGCCCAGCCTTAGCAACTTAGTGAATTTGTGAGACCTTAGCTCAAAATAAAAAGATAAACGGCTGGCAGTGTTGGTTTGTGCATCATTCTCCAGGAATGACTGGGTGAATGAATAAAATAAAAACCAGAGTGCGGGCACCGCGGCCCGGCCAGAGAGCACCCCCGGAGCGGGCTGCTGGGCGGAGGAGCCCGCCGGGTCCTGGTGGGCGAGGGCGCTGGGGGGTCTCACTGTTCAGGCTGGTCTTGAACTCACTATGTCGCCCAGACTGGGCTTGAACTTGCAGTGACCTGCCTTAGCGTCTTGAGTGCTGGGATTACAGGTCCTTCATGATGAGTGACTGGGAATACTTCTCTCTCTGTGTAGCTGATAAGACGTCTGGGTGGTAAAGAGATGGCAGACAGCGTCAAAACTTTTCTTCAGGACCTCGGCAGGGGAATCAAAGACTCCAT